CAGAAACGAGTTAACATCGGCCAACTGCAGAAATGGCTTCAGTGGGGGTAAGGAAGCCAGGAACAAGAAGATCGGAGCAGCTTCGCTCAAGACTATTCAATGGCGGGACCAGTATTGCGAGAGCTAGTGATAAGACTTATCAGTAGTATATAAAGAGAGGTTCATTATCATAAAATCATCAAGTATCAAGGAAGTACATTTGAGTTCAGAGAAGTCAAGTGGTGCAGAGTTGGGGAGGTACATGGGAGACGTGAAAGGAACACAAAGAAACACAATATGAAGGCCAGAATTACCACAACACGAAGGTCTGTGCAAATTGCGCGTTGAGGATAAGGTGCACACAATTTGGTCATATATAAATACCAATTTCGAAATATTTCTTTATTTTCATTGATGATTACAATCACCACTCTGATCTGGTTGATTGCGATTCAGTGGGAGTCTGAAGGAATACTCTCAAAAGAATTGTTTTGAATTATGCTGATACTTATTTATGGACTCTGAAGCTGGAACGTTTGAACCTGTAGGCCTTAGAAACAGTATTTTGTGGCTGCAACTTTGGGTACTGTAACCATTCGTGCTGTAATTGTCCAGTAGTTCTGGTCTATTGTCAGGAGATCGCCAAATTGCTAATTTGGCTTCTCATGATTTCGAGGTGATGCAGTTCATATTATTCTGGGTTGCATCTATTGATTTTCTGGCAACAGAACTAGCTTCAGCAGCCGTCGGTTAAGAGTTTTTGAAGCCGGTACATCTACACATGTCCGCAGTGCACTACAGTTTCAGAAACATTCATTTTGCTTCAGCAGTGACCGGCTTCCTTTTATTATGCAGTGTTCGTATCTCTTTACAAATCTACTAGGACAACATATTTGCACTAACCTATTTTAGATGCATCCTAATTTGTTGTCTAAGAAGTCATCAGTACAGATTGTCCCTGTTCCATTCATGGGTCATTTGACTAAGCCGATTCTGTATTGGATTGATGCAGTTGCGTCTAATATTACGGATTTAAACACCAAAGTTGTATTTTATTTACCATCATACACTTCATGTTAGTCAGACCGCTTGTGGTGCATTTCGGATTTTTGTGCGTTTTCTAATAATAATCAGCTGTGAGAGACTTCATGTTCAGCCATTGCGTACGACGTCATATTTGAAGGTTTGTGTCATGTTCATATGGTGCATCTGGTTTAGCAGGACTACAGTCTTGCAGCTTATCAGTGGTCTGTTACCAGCGTAATTCTGTTAGGAGCCGTTCGGCTTTGTTTGGATTCAGTCATATCTCTTTGGAACGATTTGGGTTTTTTTGGACTCTGATTGAATACTGCGAGTCTGTCCCTTCTAAGGTTATTTCAGCAGTGTGTTTAAGAGGTACGAGACTGGGGAAATGTGTATATTGTCAGACAGATGTACTTTCCAGTTAAATATTTCTCCTGTGTATTACTTTCTCTTCCGCTAGACATCAGGGGACTGTGATCTACTGTCAATGTAGTTGAAGATTGAACGATCAGTTCATGGTTGTTTGCTCAAACCCGACTTCCCCATATTTTTCGCGGAGTCATCAATTCATCAGTCATCGTCTCATTGGTAGCTGTTCAGAAGGAAGGTAAAAACTATCAGAAACCTTCCTCTGTAATAACAGTATTGTTGGTTATATGTTGGCGTTAGAATAAAGGATTCTTGAGTCGCCAAACAGTGTTTTGGTTCTCGCGTCAGTTGATGGTAAGCGTTTCTGAAAATCTTCGAGGGATAGCATGAGGCCCAGCGTAGCAAGAGCTGGACATTGACGGTTTATGTGACTTGACTGACATCTATTATAATCTTCTTCAGGAGTGAAGGGGAGTGATGGATGTGCATCAATTAATTTTACTAACATTTTGCTCTTATCTTTCTCATTATGAACATAAGAGTGTATAACCAACACCACGAAAATAAGAATTCATTTCACTCATTAATTGCTCCAGTGGACCATTTTCAATTTTGGGACAATAGAAATCTCCCAACATTAGACTCAGTAAAGAACCCTTGGTGATCCCCCCGGTTTGTCCGTAATGAGGGCTGTTGAATGTGTTGTGTATATTCACAGCGCATTTTAGAAGTATCCCTTTCAGACTGATAGTTAGAACTCTGAAGTATAGCTAATTTTCAACTAATCTTGACATAAAAATTTCACAGTGTCCATGAATGGTACGATAAAGGGATTTGTCGTGTAATCTCTGGAGGCAGAATTGGTGAACTGTGATGCTACTTCTGACGATAGCATTCGCTCCCCATACACACCCATATCATGTAGGTTGGAAATGAATTTGAAAACGCCACTACCACTATGATTTACAACTTTCCTGTGTATTGGCCAGCGTAGTCCAACTAGCCATTTTGTTACTCCATGGTGTATGAATTAGGTATGCCAGTGAGTGGGCGAAGAGGAAGTCCTGGTTAAAATACTTTTAACAAAGCACACAGTAGTGAAGTCTAAAATCCAGTAGGCTTAAGACGGTCGTTGACTGCCACTGAAAGTGTTGCACTTTTCCTCAGCTCCTTGAGAGTGTTTTTAGCTGATTTTCAGCCTTTCCGTTTGGATCTGTTGAGTTGTTAAGCTTTCGGAATCTCGTTTCATCGGTTAGAAGAGAATCCATTTTGTCACTGTACCCACATTTATTCGTCACCGCTACCCGACCCCCTGTATCACGTTGCGTGATTTCTTCTAACGCATTTGCTCTATAATGTAAAATGCGTGCGTGTTTGCCTATACGCTTAGGCTTGCAAAGTCCTATGGAGTTACATATAAAAAGACTCCAGAAGAGGTAGCCTCCTTGTGACATATGTTAGGTCAAGATTGGACCACCGCATATTATATTGGAAGCAAAACTGCAGTCCCTGTGATATTCCTTGATTTTAAGAAAGCATCAATTGCTGTTTACCACAGTAACACGTTTTCGAAAAACAGACATGACTAGCACTACTGACCAGCCCGTCTTTTGGAACATAAATCACCTCGGTGAACAGAATCAACGACGGACTCAACGGCATCTACCCATATTCGTTGGCTTGATTGTTAAAAGGTCAAGGAAGTCCATGATATAACCATTTCTGATTTATTAATCATCAATAAAGTATCCCGCTCTATACATAAGAGGCACAAAACTACAGTAAATGTTAACTAATCATGTAGGCGAGAAGTAGGCCCGAGAATCATTAGGCGACAAAGGGCGGTCAAAGGAATGTTACACAAACTCAAAAGGTTATAGGTGGTCAGGATTTATTACAAATACAATGACGGGCAGATTTGCCTTTCAGTGACTGCAACTGATACAATGAAGAATCACGCATCCATTTTAACCAAAAACCTAGACAAAAGCCAGAACTCATTGGGCGACATGTTTGATCTATATGCTACATTGTATCTCATGGACAAAGAGCTAAATGCTCTTGCGGCGTGAGATGCCAAAAAGGTTTATATGCAGTTTAGAGATGCGGATATAAATATTTATATCTGCGACAACAATGTTGAATGGCGGAGAGGTGAACCTAGGAAAATTTGCTTGAGAAACAACATTGCAAACCAGACAGGTAGACAAAGAAGAATAATACGGAGGAAAAAGTTGCACAGTACGGAAGATATATGCATATCGGGATGCTACTACATGACAGACGCATTCCACATATACCTGTGTGTCGAGCTGCGAATAAGTGATTCCATTGCCGATCATCTTCTGTCGATGTAGTGTCACATATGGATCTATTAAACCTTATTTTGCCTCTAACTGAACAATCATATAACCATCACTGTAGTCTCCCTAAGGAGAGACTTCAACTGTAGGGAAAAGAATAAGCAAAGAGCACTGAGAGGACAATATTATAATCGAATAAACCGTACAGTGGCACCTGTTTGGAGTCGGTCTATTAACACCTATATACTGCTCACTGCAAGTTTGCAAACATCTAAGGGCACTGAAAAGTGTGATACTGTCTTCAGGTTGGTGGTATGCAGCTTGTGACAATGCACTTGGCGGTGGTCATCAGACACATTGTTGGAAATCGTGGATCTTGTAGTATGGGTGGCAGTGGCTTGATGATCCTGTAGTAGCACACGGGATGTGTCGAACTCTCTGTTACAACAACGAAACCAAGTGTAATCACCACACCTTGCATTGGAACTATGGACTTCGAAGAAATTAGACCCAAGACCAAAGAACCTTATCAATTACCAGGCTACTACCATCTACTCAGCTGACAGTAGCTGAAACAAGTCTTCGGTTTGTTTGAATATTAAATTATTCGAATGTTCCAGTTCCTTTATTGGGATACACAGTGAATGCGTATTTGTTTGGGACAAATCATAATTGCTTAACAAAGCACACCAACATTGCTGGGGATGAAGGCAAGTCTCCCACAATGCTTGAATGATTTACAGCTTGTTTGCCTGTTGGCACCAGTGAAGAGTGACTTTCATGGTTATTATATACCAACCTGTCTTTATAGCCATACGTTTCGTTACATAACCACATGGCTACTTAGTCTAGGTTGCACTGAATTGTACTTATTTGTGGAAGATGAATGCCGAGGAAATTCTTCGCCTCAGCAATCAGATTTTACTAGCATGAACATTACTTGACTGAAGCAACTTCCTCTGACCTCTGGTGTTTGATGTGAATACATTGGGTATTATGCCAGGTTTCATTGGTTTGACAGGAACCTTGGTGTTTTATGATAACACTGAGCAGTTGCCGAGAACTTTAATAGGATGGTTAGTTTCTGAGTTATTGGTATCAGAAAAGTCTCTCATTCTATCCGGCAGTAAAAGCTTTACATTTAACTGCATGGAAATGCAAGTAATTGCAGAGTAACACATATGTAAAGCCATATGCCCGTGTACAAACAAGAAATTAAAGTTTCCGACAAAGGAAAATATGCTTGTGAACGAAGAAGAAAGATTTCAAAATGTTGGGTGTTATTTGTGTTTGTCTGTGCTACCAGATGAAACTGGTGTAGGTGAAATGGGATGGACCAATAGGATATCGGGACGTGTGGCGCGGCGGTTTGTGTTCGTGATGTTATCTGTGTTAGCATTCCTCATTTGTCATATCAGTTTTCCCCCAGTTGCTGCTTATTCAAGGGACGACTGTGATAGCTGTAGACGTGCAGCAAAAAGTTTCGTCTCAGGCATATACAAATCAGAAGGTAAAAATTTTGGAGGCGGAAATTCGTTATGGGAAGAAGAACACTTAGGCAGATATTCCGTGAGTGAAGCGCGTTACCATGATATCCTAGAAGTTATGTGTGGTGCTAAGCAAAATATAGAGTGTCATAAGTTTTTGGAGAACATAGAACCTCATTTGGAGGAGTGGTGGCTCAAGGATTTTAGAAGTAATACGAACAATCCGGAAAGACTCGAAGAAGAACTGTGTGTTATTCAAACAAAGTATTGTTGTCCTTTTGGGTCCTTTGGACCTTCTTGTCTTCCTTGTACCACATGCCATGGACATGGCACATGTGACGGTAATGGCACAAGATATGGTTCTGGTAAATGCCTCTGCGAACCCGGTTACTCTGGAGATTCTTGTGATCGATGCAACTTGGAAACCCACTTCCAGCTTCATGATGATGGTCCTTCTGTATCATGCTTACCTTGTCATTCGTCATGTTCTGGAGGTTGTTCTGGTCCGTTTTCTCAAAATTGTTCATCTTGTGCGTCGGGGTGGTCTATGCACGAATCTAATGATCAACGGGACTGTGTGGATGTTAATGAATGTCTCAGTAATCCCTGCAACAATGTCACACACTTTTGCGTAAACAGGCCTGGCTCGTACGAATGTATTGCTTGCAATTCCGCCTGTCGCGGGTGTACTGGTGCAACTGCAAATGACTGTGTATCCTGTGCAAATGGTTACCAGAGAGGGAATAGTGAAGCATGTGAAGATATCAACGAATGCAATGCCGATAGTAACATTTGTAATAAAGAGGGGGAAGTCTGCAAGAACTTGATTGGTGGTTATAAATGTGACTGCAGAAACGGATACCAACGAATTAATAATGATTGTGTACTGATTACAAAGCAGGAAACAACTTCGGAAACTCTGGGTAAGTCTGGGAAACAATCCAAAACAGATAGACATAAATTACGGAATCAGAATTTCCCGAAGATAATATGGACCCTTTCATACGCCAAAGAATTTCTCAAGTACTGCGCTTCTCTCCTTGCATTTAGCATATTTTGTTGGCTTGCTAGAGGCAATCTTTTTGTAATTGCATTAGCATCATTACTAATGAGTTCCTATGTATATTACCAAAGCCTTAAGTTCGACTCTGTGTACGCTCGTCAGGAATAGACTGAATTTCTTATATTTTGTAATTTTTTCTCTAGAAAATATGCAAGATGTACAAATTAATGATGGTTACGACACTTTGAAAGAGGAGCCGAATCCTAGTCATATTCTGGGAGAATTGTGAATTTGAATTGCTGTTGTTCCCAGTGTATATAAGTGACTGACGATTATGCTACTTTCGGAGGCTGGATAAGTTTTGTGCCTCGTAATTATCCTGTCTCATTGACAATTTATCATGGTTCCAGATATATCATGTTTCATAGTTTGATTTTACTTATCTGTGAGTTGTTTACCACTGTGACATTTTCTTCCATGAAGTTTTGTAACTTTTTGTGTTTATACAATAATGTAAATTAGGACTTCCTTTTTCTTCTAATGGAAACATTTTCGAAATAGCTAAATGTTGTGGGATTTTCACGCGATCTGTTAGATAAGGTAATAAGTCTGTACATTCTTCAGTGGTGTTTAACAATGTGTGCATTACTTTGTTGTTCTAAACTTCTTTACCTTTGTGGCCTGCAGGCAGATTTCACTGATTTTACATGAAATTGGGAACTGTAGTGGGAAATGAATATTGTAAGTAATAGGTGAAGGCTTTACGCCTACGCTTGTTCTTTGTAATGAAATGACTATCGATACAGTTATCAACACGTACACATTTGTGACATGGGCTTTGAATCGTTCTGACTGCTTTTGTGTACGAATGCGAACCTAGTTGCACATGATTACTGCCAAAATAGCGTGAAACAGTGTGATACAAGAAAGATACGAATAATCATTATTTTGTGTAATTCCTTGTTGGAAACATGGAGGAATGGTCTGTAAAACTGTTGATAAACTGAACTCAGTTTCTATCATATTTCCATGGAAAGTCATAAGATTTGATTATCTGTCAAGCTGCATTTAGTTTGTGTTTTCGTTTTCACTCTCATAACCCATGACACATATAAGGCGTTACAGTTATTCTTATTTGAGTCTGTTGGCTGTGCCATTTTACTTGCCGTACTAAGCTGTTTAGTTTGGTAAATCTACACGTCTTTAGTGAGATTTTTGATTATGCTGTTTCATACACATTGACGAATCTCAGCTACATTCCAAAGTTTGTATCTTGATAGGTTGTACTATTCCAGTGGCATAATAACCGTTTGTTGCAAGGTTTCAATTCGGATTTAACTAACGTCAAAAGCGTACAATCATAATGTTGAGACAACATTTTTGGCCTACAAATCGTACTTCAAATAACTTTTTGATGTGTGGTATTCACTTAAGTGACAGTAACTTATAGGTAACCACGAATTTCAGCCCCTACATGCATAAGTATTCCCAAGCGTTTGTTGATTAAGTTATTTATATATAAGTGGGAGAGTAGCAGTGGTTAAGTGTGTTCATGTGTCCGATGTCGCTTTTTTACGTAGTTGCGTTATGGCCATACCGATGGTCAACTTTGTTTCTTGGATTGACTAGCTCTTAACTAGAAGTACGCAGGTGGTGCAATCCTATGTAAAGACTGTCATTTGAATATCGTGGGCATGAATATATATATATACGTCGCAGTTATCGTCATTTCTAGCTTAAGAATAATAAGTAGTGAAGTGGTTTAGTGTTTTGACCAACTTATTTAATGTGTCACTCTAAATGGGCTGGTTGTTAACGTAATCTCAGAGACAGATACAGAAGACTTGTGTTGGTGTTCGTGGTTCGAAAAGTGGTATTTATGAAACCACCTGTGTTTTATGAACTAGATGTAGCTGAAGAAGATCAAGTGAGGACATATAGAAATGTATATTTACTTTAAACTGCTGGTTATTATACAGTGTTGTAATTATGAGCTTAGATCGTTTCTCATATTTTTATTTTATTCTATGTACGTAAGGGTCGTGGGAATAGCTTGTAGCAAACAGGAATTATTACTCAAGAACTATTTAAATTAAAGTGGATCTGGTGATCAATTACATATATTGAGTAAGGGCTTGCGATACTACCAAACTTGATAGGTGGAGGTATGTTTCGGACATTTGACACAGTAGTTCAAAGTCTGTCAACAGTTTTTTTTGCTTAGACTAGATAAGATTTAAGAACTTTTTGATTCAATAGGTTCGGGATTCATGTTAATTTACTGTGGGAAATATATTTAAGGATTATTATTCGGTGGGGGAAATTTAAAATGTTTGTATATTTATTTCCTTCCACGCTTCTGGGGTTAATGAATTCACGTTGATAGTGCATCTGTTAAAAATTAGAGTAGTAAAGGAGTTGATTGTTCGTTATACAATCTTATACTCAGCCGTTTTGAATTTCTCATAGAGCTGACTATTGTGGTCTGTCAAGTCAGTACCACTTAGTTTCTAAAGACGAATCTTACCCAGTAAAGTTTATTTCGTTAGGCATATAATTATCATGGAGAATAGTACTAGTCGAATGGTTAATAATCAAAGGTAAAAACTACTATTCGCATATTGATACAAGTGCATAGTTATATCTGTCCTGTTTTGAAAATATTTCTATTTGGTAAACGATTAGTGTCTACACTGCGCCTCTATTCAGTAAAGTTAGAGTAGTAATTACGGAAACCACCCATTCGTCATGGTTGCAGTTCAAAAGGTCATACACTAATATTAGGGTGAATTGAACTTTTCAAGTGTTGGTTTGTAGGGATTTGATTGGTTACAAGATTTCATCATAAGCTGACATTAATTAGAGAACCATTGGGAAACCTGGGAGTACTGGACAGCTGTTTCTTACTAGTTTGGGACTCTTCAGAGGTTCGCACCCACCGGGATTCGAACTGAGGACCTTCTGGCTACAAGGCGAGCTCGTATACCATCAAGCCACTGGGACTCGATCCAGTGGCCCATGAATTCTAACTTCTGCCAATTCATGACATAGCGCGACCCCTAGCCAATGTCTTCGGAGAGTATTTGTCCTCACGCCTGACCTGCTGCACCCTACTGGTCACGACTTTGAGAAATTTGTTAATGGGAGAAATGTGCATTATATTTTTAACGCAATAATTAAGCCGAAAGATGTGTTAATAAGTGGTGTTTTTTCCTCAAGTTTATGTCGTAAAAGAAACTACATCATATAAATTCGAAAATAAATGCAAAGCCAGTGTTGTGAAAGTCGAAGCTGTGGCACGATGCTATTGTGTATTTGTAGGAGACAGAGACAAACGGATGAACGTAGGATTTTGTACCGCAGTGTCCACCAATTCGAGTATATTTGTGGAAGCAAATACATGTGTCGTACGGAAAGGCATTGCTAGAATCGAGTACACAAAAGTAGAACTTCAATGAAGTATCTAACCTGGTGCTGTCAAGTTGTTTGTTGTCATCGGTAGATGGACAAGTAGGAATTTACACTCTCAGAGGCTTCCGGAGTCAAAGTCTGGAAATCATATATTTAGGTACAGAAACTAAATGTTGGTTACATTGAATCTATTTCTGTAGTATCTCGACTTGGCTATTATTCATGTTATCCTGGCTAAACTGTTTAATCTGTATTAGTGTCAAGTATTTCTGCTTCTGTTTCATCTTCACCTCTGTTCATAACTTTTTTCCTTACCATTCTTCTCCTTGCTGCCATTGTTATCAACAGTCTTATGATTATATTATTTATAAATTTTCTCCGATAACTAGTTGTTTATTCTTCATAGTGATGTTACCTTTCCACCTCTTTCCCTGACCCTTATTTTTTACCGCCTTTATGGTCCTGTAATTGATTCATCGCAATTCATCATGTGTCTATGTTTCATGGCAGATACATGACAAGGTATATAAAGTATTCATTTGACAAGTCTCACCGAAATAATTGGTTTCTTCAGGGAATATATTTTTCTTATTTTGCTGCAGCTCAGCATATAAGTACGTATATATTCCGGTTACCTTATTTAGTGGAAGTCAATGAACGTTTCACTGTTGTTCTTCCCTGCGCCTGGCCTCTATATTTATGGTTTCGCGAAACTACCGATTTAAAAGTCTTCCGAGAAAAATAGAAGTATGTTGCAATATTTGGGTGCAGTAAAGCTGTTATAACAAGCAGAGGAAATCCAGGCTAAATGTAAAGTAATTGCTAAGCGATGGGAACTACACTGTTCCTTTCGACCAGGTGGGCAACGTGGTCACTGAAACAAACGATGTGACAGCTCTCTGTGCTGCAGTTCGATATTGGATTGAGTCAGTCGGCTAGCAATACATATGATTATGCAGAAATCTTGGGTTTGAGTGTGAAAACTCTTCATTTCTACCGGTCGAGTATTATCTCCAAAAAAAATAAAATAAAAAGTATTTTTAGGTGACTTTTTGTATGACTTTTGAAAACGGTGTTGACTACCTTATTAAAGCAATATTTCTGTTATTTAATTAGACTGATGTGTTGTGCAGTGGTGAATTCTAGACAGAACTTCGAAAATTACCATCTGTGTTTGAGTTATCAAGATTAGACAAGGTATTAGTGTGTGTATTCCAACGCAGTGAGCGAAAGATAATTATTTGTACGTAGTAATAATAACGATCAAATGGTATCATGGAAGCTGATTGTGCAGCAATACAGGTCAAGTAGCGGGCCCTATCAGGATACCTGACTAATAGTTAGGTAGTCAGTATTTATACAGTATTTATATAATCCCTCTGTGAGGCTTTTCGACTATTACGCTACATTTTGGTCATAAATAAAATCTCTTATTACTCTAAAATTTTATGCAAAGTGTTTGCGGAAATTATCACAATTATTAACCTTTCGAACACTGAATCCAAAAAATACAATCTTATTGACAGATAATACACATAACTCACTGTTTGGATTTGTGGAATTTTTAAACATAAACACATCTATAATTGTATATATTGTTGGATTTATATGTTCAAGTTGCTCCAAGTCAGTGAGTTTATGGTTAAGATATCATTTTAGTTAAATGTACTGAACTATATTGCATGTTGTCTTATTGTATAGTTGTCGTCGCTTTTTGCCCTTTTTTCTGTGAACTGTTTCCTTTGTTGATGTTGTTCTCATTGTTTGTCCGTTATTTTCTGATTTTGAGGGGAGCAACCCAAAAAGTTGCTTCTCTCTAAACTTTTACTTAATGTAATCATTCTTTTCTCAGGCGTGAGGCTAGCAACCCCACCCTGTAAACAAAAATTGCTACAGAAACTTCAGTATGTTGAACCTCCTTGCACCAAAAGAAAAAGTCTGTGTAGGAACATGGAACGTCCGAACTATGTACGAGACTGGAAAGCTGCCCAGATCGCCAACGAGATGAAAAGATACGGAATACAAGTGCTGGGAATATGTGAGAGCAGATGGAATGGGAGTGGACTCACCAAATTGTCAACAGGTGAGTCAGTGATCTACTCCGGTCACCCAGAAGATAACCACACGCACACCGAGGGCGTGGCTATCATGATGTCACCAACGGCAACGAAAGCCCTGATACAATGGGAGGCGATTTCGTCCAGGATAATGACCGCCAGGTTCAACTCCAAAGGAAGGAAAGTGTCAATCATACAATGTTATGCACCCACAAACAACGCAGACCTCGAGAAGAAAGAAGAATTCTACAGGCAACTACAGGCAACAATGGACAATACTCCAGCTGGCGACATGAAAATACTAATGGGAGACATGAACGCCAAACTGGGACCAGACAATACGGGAAGGGAACTCATCATGGGTAGAGAAGCTCTAGGAGAAATGAATGAAAACGGAGAACTCTTCGCCGACTTCTGCGCCTTCAACGAA